GGGGGGGAAAGTTTCGTTTGCCGACGAATTTTTCAATGGCCGCGAGGAGAACAACGTGTCAAGGAGGAAAAAGTCGGAGGAAAGCGGCGTGATGATCGAAAGAAAGTTCCCCGCGATAGAAACGTGTGCCTCGTTCAACAGTGAAACTAAAAGTTAACGAGAAATTGAAAGACACTTCGAACAGATAATGTAAATATAGAATAGAAATTAACTATCTTTATCGTAATAGTAATTTGTAAATTAATTTCACACGTCAAATGGTTTCGACGAGTACGAACGACGAGGAGAAATGAAAATTGAGAAAGTCACGACAAATACAGACGCTTATTTTCTTTTCCTTCATCTCGAAAAATAGTAATTTAATGAATGCAAACTTAAAATATAGAATATTTAAAATTTAATTGCAAAATACGCTGATTTTACTTTCGTTATTAATGAAACGTAGATTTTTGGAAAATTTAGTTTCATACTCTATCGATGAATTTGATTTAGCATATCTGGTATTAATAATAAAAGTTTTGATTTTACTTCCCAAATTATAATAAATAAAAATAATTATTTTGTAACTAAACTGTCGAAGTATATAGAAAATAATAATAATTATATTTCCTAGAATAATAGAAGTAACTGTAAAATTTATTAATTTAATGTTAGAATAGACAGACATCAAAGTAAAATTGAAATAAATGAAACAACTATGAGAAATAAAAGTGCAGGACTTCTTTCTATGCGTAATCTGTATAATTAGAAATAAATAGATTCCTTAAATAAACTCCCTATAATTTTTCCAACGAAAGCAACGGAAGAGAAGAGTATTAATATCTCGTATACGAGGATGACGTTGAATTAAATGGTACAAAAGGAAATGTCAAGCGTGTGTGCTGGAAATATTTGAATCGCAGACCGTATAAACAGAGGAGAGAAGAAAGTAGCCTGCACACAGAATGCTCATCAGGAACTTCTTCTAGCTAGAAATCTGAATTTTTCCAAGCATCGAGTCGCACGGTGTAGGTAACTTTCGATTGCCATTGCATCGGCTGTATTTATACGGCACGCATCGTAACACAGAAATTGTTTCTCTTAACTATAATTATAGCGAAAAGAGAATGAAACTTACTCTTATGGATCCTGGATAATTTAAAGCAAGTCCAACCTTTTTTCCTCTTTTGACGCGTTGTTCACCTTGTGAAGAATTACTCAATTTATATAAAATTTCATTTTTAATTATTAAAAGGATTTCTCGATAATAACACTTTCGAGAAAGCAGAGCAGACCAGCACGTATTTCGTAAAACAAATATCAAGCTTCTCCTTGACTCGTTATCCAATTTATTTGAAATCATTGAACGATTTTTAATCATTTAAAAATCATTTCTAATCATTTAAAAATCCCCCACCACCACCGGTAATGAAACTCATTCCTCAAAATTCGTATTCATACAAATGATCAATCGGATTGACTTTCGATCGACATACCGCGAACGCAACACGTGCGTTTCGTGAAACAAGTATGAACGAAATATCAAACATCTTACGACAATTGTAATAATTTATCAAACAAAGAGAAATACGTAGAAATACTTTCTTCTCTGCACACAATCGAGCAAAATTTCTCAGGACGTTCTTTTTCCACTTGCCCTTTCGAGATCAACACTTTTCACTGAATGAAAATATAAGTGCGATTGATTTCACTGTCACACGACACGAGACCTGTCCATCGTCGTCGAAAAGAAAAATCAAGAAAAGTGGAATTAAACACAAAACTGAAATAAAAGGGATAAAGAAACGATAGCAAAACAGAGGAAACTTATTGGAAAAGAGATATATACAGTGAATGAGTGGTTTCGTACTCACCAAGCTCATGATGCTGTCTGTGCCGATACTCGGTTAGCACGCGGCTTTTACTCAGGAAGATGATCTTCAGGTAGTGATAGTTCCGTGGAAGAGGAGGGGTCCACGATGTCGATCCACGTGTATGAAACGATCCGGTATGAAACGAGTTGAATTGCGAATCACTTCCCTCGCCATTTTCAAAATATCGATACGTCTCGCGGTCGATAACGTTGTGTTCTTACTGTTCATTTCGAGTATCTTCCGACTTCCGGTAACTGCGCGGGAGAAAGTGAAAATTTATGAATCACGTAAATTTTCGAATGATCGAATTTATTCAAAACAGATGCTTTAATTGATTGTTCCTTAGATTCAATGGTCAGTGAATACATTTCATTTATAAAATATTTCTATAAATATGATACTGTAATAATAATATTTGCATGTGACATTTATTTTTGTTCATTTTCAAATTCTTTAATTTATTCGAAGTATTTTGAATGTTTTTCAGACTCAATGATTCGAACAATTAAACACTGAAATTAATTTATAAAATATTAAAATCAACAATATTCTTATCAATATGATATTCAAATATTCTCGAATTTACCAATATATTATTAAATACATATTATATAAATACATATATGCGTATGTATACATATACACATAAATATCTTGAAAAAATATATTGAAATATTTTCAACAATAATACATTCACAATTTAAAGCATAAATATTATTTCTTAAGTGCTTAACCTTAAATTGCCAAGTACTTAAACTGTTAAGTTTTAAACCATTTATGTGCGCATTTCAACATTCATAATTATTTAAAAATATTTTTTACATTAATGCTGATAAAATACTTGCCACAAAAAACTGGATTATGTAATCTTGATGTTACAATTCTTCGTCTCCATATGTCTGCAGAATCTTTGAAAAAGACGTCGTTTTTTTCGAAATAGTGCAGAATTCAAACTGGATTGCATCAGCTGAAAATGTGTGATACAATCTATAGCTACCGGTATGATCTTTAATTGAGTTGAAAAGCAGAAAGGCGAGAACCATGGCGGCGGTCTTGTTGGCGAGGTTGTGCTTTCGCTGTGTTGTACGCTTTTCTGACCGAGAGTACAAGCGTTGAAGAAATAACATCGTGGAAATCAAAACAGACGGAAACATGGTACGTAATATATCAGAAGTAATGACTGTCTTTCCATTGTTACCGTGTAAGAAGTTACCTATGTCAATATAACCTCAAATAGAGCAGAAAAATGAAACGTCATTTTCAAAATTGTTCATAATAAAGCAGCCAAATAATTGACACAGCTAATTTTTTCTTATTTTTGTCATTGACATACGATTGTAACAGATGACTAGACAATTTATAAGTATTTAATTGTAATATCAATAGAGCCATACCAGTGATTCTAGCGAGTCAGATGACGGCGGAGACGATCAAGAAGGGTCTTCTTTCTCGGAAACGAACATCGAGGATGCTCTGACATCCTTCAGAGAACAGTGGCAACGTGAGTTAGAAATATCACCCAAGAGGGATCAAGCTAAGATGCAATCCACGAAAGCAATTAAAGTTGATGTTTCTAATGATGAGGAGTCCATTGAAAGCAAGGTATAATAATGATTTATTAAGACCTTATAT